TTACTACTTTGGACAGCATTAGAGCAACTCCCTGAGTGTGTGGAGCATTTTCGTCTTAGTGACCGGAGTAGAGCAGCACCTCTCCCGTACTTAGCCTTTGTCGTCCAGCTTGGGTCCAATGGGTTTCGCAGATTCCCAGTACTGCCAAGTTGTATCTCCTCATTTCCATTGCTATTTGACTGGTCTTCCCGGTCTCGCGCATTGAGGGTACTTTCCATGTACCCATAAAAATCGTTGCTCTAGTTGCTAAAAGGGGCATCGGTCCCGTGATTTCCGAAAGAACCCGGTTTTCACCATGAGACGTCATAGTTCTTCTAAATGAAGACCTTTTAACTCTCAGGACAGGGTTAAAATGGTTTAATTAGTTGATTCTGGTTAGCGTTTTTTAGCGAGTTAGTTTTCTACGGGATGGGGTCACTAATCCTATATCCACCCCTCCTTTACCGAGGCTTTGGACTGGTAGTAACTCTGGAAGAGCTACAGATGGAGTTGACTAGGCTAGTCTTTTTTAGATGAAAAAATAACACCACCTAATGAGATTAATAAAACATCTACAGTGACAAGTAATTCCCGTAATGAATGGTATATTAGGTACTCATTATTAAAACTGACCTGATTAATTTTATCGGACTTAACTGGTTAAAGAGGTTTTAGCAAGTTTTCGGACTTTATCACGGTGTACTTCACCCAAGACAACAATTTTGTCCTCTAACTAATCAACTTAGGCGTCTCGCATTTGTCAACCCTTATCTGTGGTCGAATATGATATCTCTTTCGTTCGATAATATTTTGTCTGTCTTCTGCAGATATAACTTGACAAAACTTGGTATCGTTTTCATTTTATACAGCTGGACCAAATCATTTTCAGGTTAAGGATTCCTTAAAACATTCATTTATCTAGAAGAAAGAATATGCTAACAAATAATTGTCACTTGTTATCATATGATCACCCGATAAAACTTGCTTCTTACACTTTGTCGTTTCATTCAAGTAACTAGTTTGAGTTCAATTACGAGAATCTTGTGTATTAATATCAGAGCCAAAAATCTTGTAACCCATCACCGTCTTGTCTTCAATAGAGGTAAAGGCGCAGATTGGAACACAAACGACATCTTATAAGAAACTCTCTATGCAAAGGGTGGCTGCTTATTTGCAATAACCAAGTTTAAAATATTTGAGCTCTTCGTATAGAGCTTTGGAGTTTCTAGAATCTACATGGATAATGGATCTTCCTATCGTTAAAAATGATCTCAAAACTTTGGCAGCTATTGCATCGCAATGAGCCGCAATTTCCGTCATTTATTATTAGCGGCTCTTAGGTTGCTTTTGTCTGAATATCAGCTAGCTCAATGTTATTCATTGTGCAAGTATCCATACTTTATTAGACATGGATGAACTATTCTATTCTATGCGTTTCAGAAAAGATCTGGTTTTCTTCTAGATACTCACACAACTTCTTACGAATAATGTTGCCCAAATTTCAACAAACAATCTGGTTATGCTTGTACGTCGTTAGTTCTCATATTTTCGTTTGGTACATGCTTCGAAAATGGGGCTTACTTTTGTGTTCTTCTGGTCTTTTGGTAATCTACCTTGAGTTGCATATAAATTAAAATATATGTCCAATGGATTGACGACAAAATACGCTAATTCCTCTAATAACACAAAATGTATTTCATTGGCTCTCATAGATTTTCCCACATCAAGCTTATTTAGTGGACCAAAGACTTCGTGTTCCTTAATGGTCACATAGACCAGAATGTTTGTGCGAGGTGCGTATGAAATTAAAGGAATGCATCTCTACAGAATATTTCGTCCTTTCCTAAACTCGTCAATACCCAGTGACTTAGATCTTTCCAACATTCTTCCCCTTCTAAGAAGAAAAATGCGAACCTCTTCACTCAACTACGGTGAGAGTTTCCCGAACCCCTTGGTGTAGCTCGAAGGAAATGCGGCGGAGTGGGGGATTCTGGTTTTATTGTCTAGTCTATGGAGGATAATTATATATAATATCTTTTATATTTGCTTCCCGACGTTCGAGCTGTCACAACTTCGTTATTGATAACGATATGGGAATCGGAGACTAAAACTGTACGTTCACCTTCACCTAGAGGTGACATATAAAGGAGGTTTGTAACGTCACCCTCATAATGAGTCAATTTCAGCTATAGTAAGTATGAATCGGATTCCGCGTCATGCAAACATTCTTCTTTAACATGTTACACTAAGGCATATATGATAACCACCTCAACTGATTTCCATTCAAAAGACTTTTTCACAATTCATTCCTCAGATTTTCCCAGTCTATTGTACGTTCATTGAAATTTCTTTAGATTAAACACGGACTACTTAATGACCAAGTGGCAAGACTGCCTGGCAAGTTCTAAGCCACCTCACAGTTCAAACTGGGGAAACTAAACCAATCAGCAGCTCTTCTCCTCTGCATTTTAAGCGGTATCTAACCGATTCGCACGTTCCACTTTCATGTAATGTGTTGTCGATAATAGTAAATGCGATAATATTGTCCGTCTGGCTACCTAATATTTAGGCCTTCAGCACCGCGATTCTTGACATATCTTGAGATGTTGAACTCTATACACTAATATCACTCTTAAAGCGAGTTACGAGTTCTGAACTTTCACTCTTCTTGACCCTATGAAAGACAACAAAGTTGTAACTATGATCAGCCCCGATTTCTTAGCCAGCGTTTTGAAGATCTGCTTTTCTTGAAGGACATTAGATTGTTTCTTATCCTTGATTTGTACCCATTCATCAGCCTTCGTTAAGGTGGCTATCACGTTGACGCGAGGCTGTTAATACCCGGGGTGTTTGGACCGTTTATTTTTCCCGCTAGAAACGGATCTAGCCTTATGATTAGGTTTTCTGGACGTTTCATCCTTTCTTACGCCTTTACTTCAAACAGAACTGAATGAAATCCTTCCTTCCTCCTTTGATCCGCATAGGACCATTAACTTTGAGCTCGTTAGAGCGAATACCATTTGATGCATCTCAAGTACTCTTTCTGGTGCTCCTTTTAGCAGCGTTCACCATTGCAATGGTTTCGGATAGAACTCTTTCAGCATTCGAACAACATTGCTGACTCGGCCATATGCAATCACTTTTATTCACCAGTGCGAAAACAGCGAGTGTTGCATCCTTGAAAATGCCGTGCTAAAATCCTTTACACTTATAGCATTGCATGCTTTTTTAGTAGGGTATCAGCAATTCGAGCGTTGGTAGTTGCTTTTTCCGAACTGCCCAGTCAACAAGGTTTTTAAATAATTTAGAAACAGACGAAATACAAAGATAAAAACTGATAATCAGAAAACAATGAAAAAAGTGAACAGTTAGGTTTAAAAGTGCAACACGAAAAACAATTGTACTCAAAAAGTACAGATGATAAATGACTTTCGAAAAAGACGGTAATCTTGGCGTTACTTTTGCCAAAATAAATTTGTTAAAAATCAAAACAGTAGTTTTAATGCATAATAAATTATTAAAATGTTAACATCAACCCACAGTGAAAAAATACCTCCTGCTTTCTTAAATTGAGTACGTTGTTTTTTATCAATAGTGATTTGTAAGCATTTTCACTCAAAAAATCAACTCATCGGAGATAATCTGTGAAAACGAAGGCTTTATCACTTCTGACAACTTTTAAATTCTCTGATGCAATTATTACAGTACAAGTTACTGACCTCTCACAGTTTAACAAGGAAGCGCATTCTTCAAGCCCGGAGCTATTGTGTGTCACTGTAAGTTGCTTATCTGTCGATCAAATATGTCCGCTTCTACCTCTCCTACTAATGGTACGCAGTGACTTTTTTAAAGTCGGTTTGCGAAAACATTGAGAAGCTGTTAATTCACACTTCTCTGACATGTTTTTTTGTAGATTACAGTATTTATTGTGTTGTAGCATTAAGCCTTTACTCTCAGGTTTTCAAGTCTTCTCAGACATGAATGTGATCTTAGTTCCTTTAAATGTAGTTTGGGGGGATGTAACCTGATCAGAGCACTTTTCTCTCCCTCCAACTCCTCTATATCCCTCTGCTTACCGTGGCTGTATGCTATACAAAGGGTGTTGCTATAAGCTTAAAATGTTTGACCATTGTCTAATACGACATTTTGTCAGCAGTAACACCTGAAAACGGGCGAATTCATCATCTGCAACCAGTCATTCATCAAAGATATGAGGAAATGTCAAGTTAGCTAATTACAACTACATCAACCTAATCTTTCATCACGTCATTCAATGTATGCAACCATTGATTATAGTCATACGAAGTTACTATATGGCAACATCCATTTATCTTTGTTTAACCTCGAATTTTCTCTAGTATATCGTCGCATTGGATATCGGGTTAGGTAGTCTTTGTGCAACCACACATCTCCCAACTGCCGTAGACCATGGTGATTTATAATCTCATCAGTTGACTTGGATTTTATCGAACAACCTACCCTTAACTCCACTCTATCAATTCTTGAAGACTCACGTTTTCATCTTTTATGTGCAATATTTCACAGCTGTAAGTTGTAGCAGAGTGGACTGTACTCACCTCTTTGTTTGATAGGTATCTCATTTTCACTAATGATAGCTCAGGTTGTTAAAAACTAAGTGGGTTTTTCTATTCGAATCGTGGTTTTGCTGGCTATCAGTGATAGGGTTTCCAAGACAACTGAAGTGATCGGAGCACTTAACTATTGCAGTCGGCCGAAAAATGGTATCTACTTAAGTTAATTATTAAAGGTGACGAATGACTTGTAATATGTCAGCGACGTGTTGAATGTTTTCTGCAAACTAGTTGGTGATATATGTCAGTCAACCGCTTCTGTTTGTTTTAGCAGATAACTTGCCAGCATAACACTTATGCTATTAATAATAGTAATGTGGACATGTTTTCGGTTGTTTCCCAATTGTTTTAAGGTATTATGCTCTTAATTTTTAATCGCTGTGTTGTTTTATGATAAATTTCCCGTTTTTTTCTTTCACTTTTCCATAGATGGCTATTATAATTCCGAGGACAGGGTCACATCTTACACTATTTACCCGCTCTTTGTGCAGCAATTTTCGTAGATGCTCTTCCGTCAGCAATACATATCTACCTGCTCCAAGGACTCAGATTTATTCCCATTTTGAACAAGTGTCTCAAATGTCATCAGTTATTGGCAAATTTATAACCTATCCTGAAAATGAATTTTCCCTTTTCATAGAACCATTTCTCAAAGTCGAGTTAGTAGAAGAACTTAAAACCTTTGGTGACCTGTCACTTCTGATTCGGAAACCAACAATTAACATGATTAAGGACGTAATTAACATTCGAGATTTACAGAAAGAAAGTTTCAAAAAGGAACCTGACTCTAAATCCGTCGCACTAGCTAAATACTGTGTTCCACGCTTTGTACTTTATGGCCAACCGGGGACTGGTGTTTCAGTCATTTTGGGACAAATTATGTGTTTCGCCGGTAGAGAAAAATGGCTTATATTTCCGTTCACGAGTTGTGAAAATTTTCTGGAACCATCAAATGACATTGCTCCTAGCAATGAGTATCACTATAACCAACATCGTGAGAATTTCGCGGGTGATGCTTTTGATTTCCCAGCTCGTTCTGCTGAATGGCTTAAAGTCTTTTTACAACTTAACCGACCATTGTTTGAAAAGGTATCTGTCATTTTATTATTCTATCTCCCTGATTTCCTTGGTTTTCAAAGTACTATTGTTTCTGCCCACATGTTAAAAGTGTTTTCTGAAAATTCCATGGCAGTATTAGGATCTTGATACCATGAGTTTTTGGTTCATCAATCGTTGGTGACAAATTAACATAGATGCACCTAAGGTTTGCGGAAAGTCTCCAGTACGGGACAAACAGAACTACTGATTTCGGTTTTTAAAGGCGAGTGGCTGCTCTATAACAATGATTTATGATCGTCCATTTTCGTAGGTATTTTACCAAAATCTTGAGTGCTGTTAGAGATGAAAGCGGTTTTCACTTCCTGGTTGCTCACACCATGGAAGGGTTCTTCTAGTGGTACCTGAGAAGGAAATTGGTTTAGAGGTGGTCCTAGTGACCTGAGAGCGTGACCGTAGTGCCCAAGGGACAACTACTTAAGGTCGGTCACACACTACCTTTTTGCAGGCAGTTTTCGTGTTAGCTCCGTACTTGTCGAGACCTACCTCCGGAGACGGATATCCGTGGGATAAGGCGAGTAGTGCATTTTTAGGGCCTAAAGAAAGCATCTTACTACCGTCACATCTCTGCACAGCCAGTGGTACGACTTCACCCTCGGACCTTGGGTTTGCTGCTTTTAATTTTACTGCTCTTCAACCGACCGTTCTGGCATGGTAGGACCTTGAGGAACGATTGTTCCAGCCAGTATAGCACGACTTGTTCATCACGATAGGCAAGCCTGACCACTACGTCAAGGTAACCAAAATGGCTGAATATATTCTCACTGTACTATTAATTTTACTTACTTTGAGATTATTTCCCGTACACTGTGTTTCATAACCAGCGTGTGATTACATTTATTTACTATGACTTGTTTTCGCGTACATCCGTGTTTATCCAAAATAGACTCGTTTGTACTGATTTTTTTCCCACGAAAACATATCTAAATCACATCTCTCGTCGTAAATAGTTAGTATCACAGGATGTGATAAATACTTATAAAAAGTGGTCTGAATAACCCATCATAATCGAACTTGTAAGTTGATGTGTTCCTACGGTTTCAAACCGTATATGGTGATAAACACAAAAATACAGTCCAACATACACAAGTCTATTTCTCTACAAGTTTCACATTACATGAATGCAACTCAGTAACTAATTAAATAGTTGCTTTGGTATGAGGGTGAGTAATATTACCTGAGTGTCAGGACGAAAAGAGGATCTGAATTTACAATCCGGTGATTGAAAACCAAGAACTAGCTATTAATTAGCCACTTGACACGTTTGTTAATTAATAGTACTGTGTATCCACTTAGACCTAGCTTATCGAAGCAAGGTTAGAATACATAGTTTGTTAACTAGAAGTGCTCAAATCAATGTACTACAGCTCTATCACTGTAATAAATAATTCAGTTATTTTCAACTTATTTTTCCTGTTTTCGAAACTATAAAACCTGTTATTGTCAATAAAGTGTTTACTAGTACATTCATATGACTAATATGATATTTGGTAGGTAACTTGCGGAGGCAGTTGGGGAATATTTCTAATTTCGAACCACTATCTGCTTCAATTGCGATGTTTTCTGCAATGAATATAAAGTAAGGGAATTTAAACAAAAAACCAAAATAAAATACTAGTGGTTGAAGTTAACGATTACTGCTTTAAACTGTAGTTATGACACTTGAATATTGAGCTCAATAATTACTGGGTGCCCATAGTCGGAGATCTCAAACAGAATGAACTAAAATCGACCTCATAAGCCTGTTAATCTTCTGTCTTGCAACGCTTTTGGATCATTTTATTAATTATTTTCCCTATTTCCTCATGACTTTCAAGTTTTGGTGACTTTAGTCTTTTCGTTAACTTTTACTCTGGAATATTTAGGTATCTAGAACTGTATATTCGACTCGTTTATTATCTCCTCGGGTTTCGCTTCCAACCTGTATCTTCTTAATACCGCTGACCAACTCCACAATAAATAATCTAGTTACCACATATTACATTTTTAAGCTAATCTAACACTTGCTCCTATCAAACATTAGCACCTACTATTTAAAATGTTGAGGATAAACATGTAGTGTATAATACTCCCAAATTGGTTTATGCATCATCTATTTGTCTTGCAAAGCTGGCTTACATATGAGTATGTTAGAAGGAAACTATGGGTGACCAAACGATTTGGTCACTGACAGTTATCATAATTTGTGTTAGGCGTTTCAGGCTTCTTGTCTGAGTGGGTGTGCGATGCCAATCGTAATATTTAAGTTATCTAGCTCACAATCGATTGGGATGGTTCAAATACACCTATTTTCAAAATCTAAACTTTATGTCTTTATATTGTCCTTCAGTTTTTACTCAGTGGTCTTGAGTGCTGTTAGAGGTATGAGGGTGGTTATCACTTCCCGGTTGCCCACACCGTGGAAGGGTTCTTCTGGAGGCACCTGAAGAGGAAATTGGATTAGAGGTGGTCTTAGTGACCTGGGAGCGTGACCGTAGTGCCCAAGGGACAACTGCTTGAGGTCGGTCACACACGACCTTTTTATGGGTAATTTTTGTGTTAGCTCCGTACTTGTTGAGACCTTACCGCCGGAGACGGATATCCGTGGAATAAGGCGAGGTGTGCATTTTTAGAGTCGACCTTTTCTAACCCTACCTCTCCTTGTGGGAAGGCAGCATCACTGTCATGCTGGTTGTCTGAAGGAAACACCTTACTGCTGTCACACCTCTGTACAGTCAGCAGTACGACTTCGCCTTCGGACCTTGGGTTTGTTGCTTTTAGTCTTACCTCTTTTCAACCGACCTGTCTGACATGGTAGGACGTTGAGGAACAGTTGTTCCAGCCAGTTTAGCTCGTTGCTTCATCACGATAGGCAAGCCCGACCACCACGTCAAGGTAGCAACAACGGTTGGGGAACACAAGACAGCTCTACAGACTAATAAAAGAGACTGGAATTAATAAATCAAGTGTAAGTCAGACTATTTCGTAAAAAGACGACACCCTCATCTGCTCTCAGTCCAGACGTTTAGAACGATGGGCGGAACATTTCAGAGAACAGTTCAGCTGCCTCCAGCTACTCTACAACTACCCCCCATTCCCAGACAGTGTAAATGGAACATTGAAGTAGGTCCCCCAACTCTTGCAGAAGTTGAAAAGGCTATAGTTAATCTGAAGTGAGGAAGAGCAGCCGGTCCAGACGGATTGGCTCCAGAGGTCTTTAAGGATGGTGGTTCAATTTTAGCGATTAGGTTGACTAATATTTTAGCTAAGATCTGAGAGTTAGACGTTATTCCATCTGACTGGTCACAGTCACTTATCGTCCCAGTATATAAAAGAGGGTTAAAATCACCCTGTGACAACCATAGAGGGATTAGTTTAACTAATATAGTATCTAAAATACTAGCCTCGATAATTATCAGACGCCTAACTACGACTCGTGAACTGCGAACACGAGGGAATCAAGCTGGCTTCAGACCTGGTCGTGGCTGTATCGACCACATATTCACCATTCGTCAGGTTCTATAACACAGGCATACTTATCGGCAGTGCCTGTCATTGGAAGACGTACCTCAAAAGTACCTAAACCTTGTGAAGGCGCTTAAAGTCACTAACTTCTAGTCTGAGCCATGTTGGTAGATGCAGACTAGTTGGTTGGGGTCCGCGTGACTACCGTAACCAATGGTTGGAGACTCTTGGTGACATGGCTCAGAATGGATCACAATGGCGTCGGTGTATACACTCTCTGTCTTCCTTTAAACTAAGAGATTAAAATCGCTTCATATCTTTCTTTCTACGAAGTAATTCTTTCTTCCCGTACTATATCCTTATATGCAATCTTTCTTTTATATATTACCACCACTGAATTAACTACTTTTATGAATCCAGTGTCCATCTTGTTGTGTTAATGAGGTATGGCAACTTGGACCGATGCATATATGTGCCTGGTCCTACGTTGTATCTGACTGACTGACTGACACTTTTTACTCAATCTTATTCTCAAACCATATTTGATATGTTTGGTTTTCTTTACTATTGTAAATATTACCATTACTTTCATTTGTTTGCTTTACATTTTGTTAATTTCCGTTCTTCTTGCTTATGTGTTATGTCATTTTGAACGAGTGAGCATTTATGTCGGGTCAAATGTGATGGAATGCCCCGATTTTTTGACATTTTAACCAATAAAGACAAGTAATTTACGTCTTGATACCTTAAGAACCAAGTTTTGTTTAAATTACATTGAAATACAATTCCATATAATTTTTCCATCTTTTGATTACCTACTTAAAAACGTGTTCTTGATAAGTTCATTGTTTCAAGTGACCAATAACTACTCATGCTGTGAAGTTCGTCTGCCAAAATGGCCTTAATATTAAGCTATATACTAATTATCAGTCTTGGTGTACGTAACAATAAAGGTTATTAAACCTTTTGTACTTTATTACGTTAAACTCAGCTTCATTTTATCTAAACTGCGATTAGAATAAAATCATACAAAGGATCCATGCAATTAAATTTTAGAATAAACTTAGCTAGCAAGTCATAAAACCTCACGATTAAAGTAAAACCGTGGCAAATTTAGAACTTAGACGATTAGTTCAGAGTATTAAATACCAAACTGATGATCCATTCACATCACTAGTTCGATTCTAGAAGGTTTGCGTTTTCGCCACTTATCACTCATATAATACATATCAAAATTTGTTACTTAGTCATGTTCATCGAGTGATATTAGTTGACACCAGTACTACATATTTCGTGGCCTGGTTTTAATTTCAGATTTGACTAATTAACATCGCACCAGTTTGAATTTGTCGTGAACTTTTAATAATCATATTTTTAGCTAGAAATACGTTTCAATTCTTTAAATAGTCCTACAGACAAACCTCTAAAGAATATTCACATAATTTTTTCAATGATTATCACTGTCAAAAGTTATCTTTTTCATTTAGTTAAAACCAGTTGTATCTCGACAAGTAGAATGGACCAAAAAAGACATAATGCCCGAAGGAACATCTTGGGTAGATTTAATAAATTTTGGCATCGCCAGGACCAAATACGCAACGGATTGTATTGGAATTTTATTAAGAGAGGTAGTTCATTTGGTTGTTTTTCTCTACATAATTAACATTAAACCATGGAAGTAGAACATATATTGTAACTATCTAATAGATTTCCATAGATGGTTGGAAATGACACTTCAAATAAACCATATAGTATAGGTACAGTTTCGAAACTGAGACTAAATGAAAAGGTTTTCAACAGTGCGACTGCTCGACAGTGGACATGGTGTTGTTTAGAAATTTTTCAAAATAATCAATAAGAGAAGGGATTCAAATTCGTGACTGTTCACCGAAGCTGTTGTAATAAAAAGATGTACGTCGAAAATATGCATCCAAAAAATATATCCTGTTTTGCCACGGTGACCTCGTTTTCATGAGATTATAACGCAAGATTTTTCCATAACTTTGATGTTAATTTATTTTATCTTAATTCTTACTTCAGTGGTTTACTCAACTAGTCTGTATCTTTTTTAATTAAGTATTACATAATCTATCCTCGATTTCGAGGAAATTCCGTCCCCACAATTTTTTGAATATTCATATGTTTAACCCATAAATAAGCCAACGTGCGAGTGATGTTAATTCTTCCATATTACTGTCTCATACTATTATTCTACCTCCGCATGTTAACTGAATTTATTCAAGACGTTCGCGACATAAATTATGTACTCTTCTTTCGGTTTAATGGTTAGCATTATAGTTCTAGCTTGTAGGCAGCTGAGTAAGAAAATATTTATGTCATTCTACTACGATATTTGTCCTTTCTTTATTCAAATTATGACAATATTTCATAAATTCGCTATTAGTATTTTCTCTTTTTTACTCTGCTCCTTATCGTTTTCTCACTGCACTTGTGTAAAGTTTAGTAAATTGAACTGGTACATATTCTCATCAGATTTTTCATTGTTTTGGTGTAGTTAGTTTGTCAAAAAATTTAGCGGTTATGTGTAAATCTTGTTTTTTTCGAACTCAAGCCATTTTCAAAGAGTTTGTTTGCTACAAACCACCCAGTAAGACGTTTTTTCCTAGGTGTTATAAATCACTTCATAATTTGTGGTTGGTTGTTATGCCTTCAACTTCGAGACCAGCCATTGGGTTTTGGCAAACTTTACAAATTTACATTCTTGTCCTCATAAACCTGACACTAAATGCAAGTGACTCAAAATATTCTTGAACCATATCATTACGCTCTTTTTATGTCACATAAACTTATTTTGAGGTTTTATTGGTACAATTAACTTAGTAAACATCCGGACCATATATTTTCAGATGCGTCTACTATCATCTACTCCTGATGGCCCTCCTTGTTTATTGGTCATCGATGGTGTAAATTTCCTGTGGTGTCGCGGTACTTTATTAAAGGATAAAACTCTTTCGGTTAATGTTACTACTGATCGATTGGCAATTGTACATCATTTGAAACGTGCACTGAGGGGAGACTGGCGTCATGGTGTCATAGTTACCTCTACAAATATTCGGGCGGCTTGGCCTACAGATAGGGAACAATATACTCCTGGGTAAGTAAATAAGCGTAGATTACTTTTTGTCCAGCTGTGATCTCTGATTTTATCCTTGTATGATTTATATTTGGAGGATTACTCATATAATTTTTTCAGTTAAGCTTCCTAGAATATTATCACCGTAAAAATCGTTTTCAAGTCTCTATAAAAATTTTTCCCTGAAATGCACAATGACCAACTTTATTTCTGTATTATTACTACCAATTAATTTACAAAATACAGACTCATCCACTTGGCTATGAACCGTATTCTAATCGTGAGGGTTAGTGATATTGTGGTGTGCGTTGCTAATGTCGACAGATATAAGTAGTGTGTATCATGAATCGAAAGTGAAATGCCTGGCGGCAGAGGCTTAAGAAGATCGAAGAAAAGAGAACGAGAAGATAGGATGATTGGTGCGGCAACGAAAGAACATTCAAGTGTTAGACGATTGGTTGACATTTCGCAAATTAAGTATTTACTATATGGTTCTCAGATTTTACTATTATTTATTTATTTATTTGAACACATAAATATTGGTACAAGAGAGCGCCAATATATGTGCGCCACACAAAACAATGAGAATTCGAAGAGAAAAGAAAAAAAGGTAAGGAGCGAAAAAAAAAGAGAACAATAACGAAGAGATTGGTGTAAGGTAGTGTGGTAGTAATGAGGGAACGAAAGGTACAATCAGAAGAAATCTTTCAGGTAAGGGAGACACAACCACTTTTTATGAAGAAAGTAAAAGAAGGTTACAGCAGGATCGCCACTGGCTTCTATTCTGAGCCATATCTGATAACGTCTCTAGCCACTGTGTAGCACCATCTCTCGGACCCCAACCAGGGAGTCGTGAAGGACCAACACAAGCCAGTCCTTTGCAGCTTTCTTTCATGCCACGACACCATGTCATGCACTGACCACCTCTCCGCTTCTTCCAACCAGTCCCAGAGTCGGCAAATAATGCACGACGTGGAATTCTCTGGGACGACATTCGGAGAACATGTCCAAGCCACCGAAGTCGGTGTTTCAAGATGGTGACACCAATTGAATTATCATCTCTGTGCCCGAACACACGATGCCGAACCTCTGCATTACTGACATGGTGTTGCCACTGAATGTCAGCAATCCTTCGGAGACAGCGATGATCGAACACAGAGAGTCGTCTAACGTCCTCAACTCGGAGAGGCCAGGTTTCACAAGCATAGAGCAAAACTGCTCTCACCGACGCGTTGTAGATCCGACCTTTTACAGCCAGACTAACATCACGAAGGCGCCAAAGGTGGCCCAGATTGGCATAAGCCGCTCTGGCTTTCACTATACGTGCATTGATCTCATCACTCACACCCCCACCAGCACTTATGCAGCTACCCAGATACACGAACTTCTCGACTACGTCTATCTGCTCACCATCCAGGGTGAGTACAGGATTGGAATCCTGCCAGTCTTGTAGAAGTACTTTGCACTTCGAAGGTGCAAAGCACATACCATACCTACGGACACTGATTGCCAACTGATTAAGTGCGGATTGCATGCCTTGGGCATTATCGCACAGTAAGACAATATCGTCCGCATACTCAAGGTCGAGAAGTCTTTCTCCAGGCAACAGATCCACACCACCATTACTTACATTCATCAGAGCTGTTTCCAGAATGTCATCGATGGCAAAGTTGAAGAGGAATGGTGAGATTGGGCAACCCTGCCTAACCCCACTGCTCGAATGGAACAATGGAGAGAGGTGGTTGTATGCCCTCACTCTGCCTGAGGTGTTTTATATAGGGCTTTTAGGATGTTAATAAACTTCTCAGGCACACCCTTCTTCAATAGACAATCCCAGAGAACAGTCCTGTCCAACGAATCGAAGGCAGCCCTGATGTCAAGAAACACTACGATTGTTGGCCTTTGATAAGTATGGCGGTGTTCTAACATTTGGCGGAGGGTGAAGATATGATCAATACATCCTCGACCAGAACGAAACCCAGCCTGCTCCTCGCGAGTCAATCTTTCTCGGGTTTTGAACAACCTACGAAGTATGACGGAAGCCAATAGCTTGGACGCAATCGGAAGTAGACTTATCCCCCGATAGTTGTTACAGGAACGACGTGAACCCTTTTTAAAGATAGGGACAACTATCGACTCATTCCATGACGTTGGTACACTCTCTAGTTCCCAAACCTTTGTAAACAACGTCGTCAATTCCTTAGTCAAAAAGTCACCACCATCTTTAAAAAGAGCCGGAGGTAAGTCATCTGGGCCAGGTGATTTGTAACGCTTCAAGAGTTGGAGTTCCTTGCGGACTTCCTCCTCATTTGGTGGATCAGTCGTCACCGGCCATGGAGGGCAGGACAGTCTGACCGATGTTGCCGGAGCAGCAGGCCAGTTGAACTGCCCTTCGAAAAATTCTGCCCATCGTCCAAGACGTCGATGGATGTTAGTGATTGGCATCCCATCATCCTCGCAGATTGTTTCACTCACACCAGACTTCTTGCTGCCAGTGGCTCGGATGAGCTGGAAGAGCTTCCGGTAGTTACCAGATGCAGCTGCTGCTTCCAGCTCATTAGCACGCTTCGACCACCAGGCTTCTCGGTCCTTACGCAAGCTTTGCCCAATTTCCTTACGTAACATCCTTCGTTTATGGTCAAACTCACGGTCACCCGGAGTAGACCGACGGGCTTCAATGAGTTGTAAGGAACCAGAAGAAACCCAGTGCTTAAAAGCGGGACGTTTCGCAAACCCACAACTGACTGTTCCCGCCATTTTCATGGCGTCATGCAATTGCAACCAATGCTCATCTATACTTTTCGGTGGAGTGGTAGCTAGCCTAGAGGCTAGCTCGGTTCGATACTTACTTGCAACAGAAGTTGCAACCAGCTTGCTAACATCAATCCGTTGATGGCGGTCACTTCGTTGTCCACTGAAAAGTAAGGCAAGATTGGCGCAGACCAAGGCATGGTCAGAGTCCAGATAGGTACTCCAAAAGGAGCGGCAGTCTTGTACACAACCACGCCAGCGGTAGCTGATCGCGATGTGATCAATCTGAGTCCAGGCTTGAGATGCAGAGGGAGGACGCCAGGTGGCACATCGGCGATGACTGTGCCGAAAGTTAGTGCTGTCGAACGCACTTTCTGGAGAAGAACAGATAACTGGTGGTAAAACTCATCCTTGATTGCATCCGGGCTGCAATCTGTCGGGGCATAGTCGGAGATGACGAAAAGACATCGTTTCTCACGCCGATTTCTTCGCACTTTGATGGAACTTTCTAATCTAACAGCACATAACCGACTGTTAATGGGGATCCAATCGATTAGTGCTGCCTCAGCTCTAGCGCTTAGTGTGACACCAAGGCCAGCAAGACCAGACGAAGATGCCACAGGGTCCTCGGATAAGCGCACGTAAAACAAGCTTTTTGAAGCGACAGATGGGGAGCGAATTTGTAGTACTTCATCAGAGTCTTGAATACGGGTCTCGGATAGACAGCAGACATCGATATTAAGACTTTCCAAAGACATACCCAGCCCCATCTGTTGTCTGACCTGCATAAGTGTGCGAACGTTGAAGGCAGCCAGTTTGAATGGTGCATGTGGTTCCAGGACGACTACTTCAGTATTCGTATTTGGTAGTAGCATAGAATTTTCAACCCTGCAGTGACTCGAGAACGTTTAGATAGAGTCGAATTTCCACCAAAGACGAGCCACTGTATAAGTATAAAAGAGGGTGAATAATGTGGCAAATAATAGTAATAATAATAATAATAATAATAATAGTAATAATAATGACAATAATAGTAATGATAATAATTTGAATCATTCGGTTGTTTTTTGAAGCGATAAGGGAGTTTCCATAGATATAGAGAGTTCATCGTTTGCGTGTGGGCTGTGATACTGCCCGGGTGCCCAAACCGGAGCAGGTGGTTATGTTAGGGCGCCACACCCCGAGCCTTTGACCTAAAGGTCTAACCCACATGGCAGTGGAGCATCGTAAGGAGATGCAGTCCCATGGTAGCCGGTGACCAACGATTGGTTCATACGCCACTTGTTCCTTTAAGATACTGGAGCCCATGTGCACCATTGGTTTGGGATCCGGTTAAAGCGCCGGACATTCGCTTTTCGTCCTCTCATTTTCGTAAACGACACCCCCGCCACGAGTAGGCAATGAGTAGGACTTCCCTGGCAGAGGCTGTATACGCGTGGCCGTGTGAGAGTATTTCGAGAGGGAGAGCGGACTCTCCCCACTCTCGGCCGTACCTGGGCATTCGGGGGCATTCGGTTGTCCCCACTTGTGTTCTCGTTCACTACAATACTACCAATCTATCCAAAAAGAAGTAGGTGTAGTGGAGTTTGAACCTCCAACAAAGTATTTAAAAGTCGAACCAGTGAACTGCCTCTTCAGTAGGTCAATTCAGTTAGCCGGTATTAGAATAGAAACTATAAAGTAGTAACCTCAAGTCTCAATATATAATAAATTGAATTGGTTTATAACTAAACTTGATCTGCTGCCTAGGAAAATTCACAGTGGAATATATGTTTGATAATACCATTTACACTGCTTCACACGACTGACAGCAACGTCACATCTTTCAGTGTATGTAGATACGAACATAGAGAGGTAATGATATCCTGTTTACCCATTTCTTTGTTTGATTTTCTAATCATTTTGATATTACCAAGTATATAAGAGTTTGTTCCTCTACATTTGTAACTATTTGGGCTGTTAGTTATAAGAATAAATGATTACTAATTCCTAGTAGGTCTTGCCTTGTTTTAGTGACCATTGTACTAGCAGTTATCTTTATTTTACTTAAAATATGCAAGTGAAACCGAGTCTTTTCGTATCTGTTAGACACTTTTTGAACCATAAACTTTTTTAGCTACTTCATTTATTTTCTACAATCTTGCATTAATGACCAGTTTTTACACCCAGTTGATAATACATTAAAATCAAATATTATAGTTTCTGATGTCTTCATGAGAATAGACTTCAGATGTGTTTTTCGTGATATATTTTCGTTATATCCGATAAGAATAATGAATAGTAACTTTTCGGATCCATTTATAGACTAATACTATACGTATATTCTTATTGTATAATCGATAAAGAACTAAACTATTCATATTCGTGTTCCTCTTATCATAAGCTTTATTTTGACCTATGAACTACTATTATACGATTTACCATTCTTGAGTTATGCCAAGTCTATCAATTACTATCTCCCTTATTCACGGCCACATTTGGCTAAATCTTGTACAAATGTTGTTTCCTATTTTATTGTACGATGTGATCTATTTGGTTCGTATGTAAATCCAGTTTGTTTGAAATACATGATTCATATCGCAGAGGCTGAGATTGGTGTTTAAATGTTTATCATACACATATACGGTTGATTGACGAGATATAGAAAGCATTGATTCAGTACTACTGCACATTAGACCGAGAACTTATCTTTTATTAGGCCTAAACAAGACCTGTGTTTATTTTAGTCAAATATTACTTGGTGAATTATTTTGTCCATCACAGTATTATTTAGTTAGAAAGTTGTTGATGAGAAACGTGTCAATCTTAACCAGACAAATTTTTTTGATCATCATTTAGGATAATTATTAATCACCTTTTTTTATTTCAAATGTAAATCGGTTGAAATTGTATTAATTTAAAACACTACAATAAGAAAATAACAATAAAAGCAATTAAGTATTATTGTAGTAAAGTAAGGAGAAAATGAAATGGATACCAAATAGGCGTAAAAAATATGTTTAGAATTTATAAAGGCATTGATTAGATTCATCTGCATCAATGCTTGGGGTTTTGAATTATATCCGTTATTATTATCATCATCATATCCGATTTTCGTTGTTAGGTGATCTGAGGTAGCACTCTACACTTGGACTCGTTATTGGAGCCCAGACATGAAAAACTAAAATTTAAATAGATAGATGGAATATTGACTGGAAATGAAACATGAACTAAACATTGAATAGAAAATGTCGCTTGATCGATTTTAGGCTATTATCTCTAATATATAAGTTGTATCAATAACAAATCTAGCTAGACGCATCATAGGGATTCATAGAAATTTTGGTTCATAAACTTGCAAATACTTAATATATTTGTAATATCCCAATGAGTAGGAAGATTAGGTTTTCTGACGTTTCATGACTTAGTGTAAGCCACTTCTTCAGAGAATAAATAACCAAATTAAGATTAATCCAAGTTTAAATAGTACAACTGAACAACAAGAATATTATGTGATCAATCAAAATACAGGTCTGAACAAATCAATGTCATGTCATTTCGGTCAAGGTTAAACTTCTAAGGAGTCTCACAATAGGACGAAACGGCCGTCCAGTGCTTCCAGGTTTTCCATTGTGGTCTAGCTTCAACTGACTCATGATCGTAACCATTGAAATAACTACCAAGTCATAGGAAGTATTGTGTTAGAATGAAGATTTATGTTACCAAATACCAATGTATTTTATCATAATTATAAATTACCTATCCTATAAAAAGTAACTTTCGCGAATAATTATGAAGGTCACAAAACAGCCAATGTGTTAGGATCTGTACCCATCATACAAAAAATTCGACCGTATTACTAGCTCAACAAGAAACGTCCCCTTCAGCTACGATTCGTTATCATCTCAGTGCATATACATATAGAAGCAATACTAACAACATGGCCAAACTAGTACTGTACAGCAAGTAAACTGTCAGTTAGTTTGCATGATTCTCAAAAACTCACATATGATAAAACAATGAGTGAAATTTGTCCGTTTATTTCACTCATTGAATTCCTCAGCATTCAAATACTGATGTCTTTTATTCAACCCCGGATTCTATTACAAACCTGAAAATATTGAAAGAAGTTGGACTTAGTGGTTTATTTCCTAACTTTTTAGGAATAGTGGCTTCAAATTACTAGTTTAATAAGTGGAATTACTTAATTGAGTAAGAAAATAAAGACTCCATCTACAAACAGCTCGGTTCTAGTCACTTTAATGTATCAAGAAGGTTAGGAGAATCAATCTTAATTTTATAGTTCTAAGTTTGGTAGTAATTCACTGTTGAACTAGAATTCAAAAATAGCAAACACTTAATAATCACTAATTCTTGAGATGTTCGAATAAATGTGTTTCAGTCATTCCTTCATCCCTCACGTTTTGAAACACATATACTTGGCCGATATAGAATAGACTTCACTTCGTTAATTGTAAAGCTTTATTGACAACCTTTAGATTTGAATACAAAATTATGTGGGAAATTATCTTTAAAAGCAATTCATTTGAATTTATATTTGTATAGAGAGTTGTGAATAGTTGTTAACTGGAGTGATACCAATAAAGCGGATTTTACAAAGTGTTGTATGTTAACATTCTTTTTCCATTTTGTTATTAACATACTCGTATAGGCTGCTCTGTTTACCTCCGACGTTTATCTATATTCACTGCGATATAACCCACCCTTGTTAAACACTGGGACACATTGAAGTACAACAGTGAGATTTCGTATATCTAAGATAAAAGTACTTTTCAACTGTTCATGGTTTTCTAACCATTGTCTTGTCAGCTTTTGCTTGTCAATATTTTAAAAAGAATGAGGAATGATAAATAAGTTCAGAGATTCCCTCTGTTTGTTCTTTGTGTTGATATAAAATCGGGTCATTTTAAAACTACCAACAATTATAAGAAGACAGAAGCACTTTTTATTGAATTATTAATGCAATTAGATAAGACATTGAGAATAAAGATAGTACATTGGTATTCTTACTTTAATTTTTCATGTGTCAATTATACGCAGAACTATTAAAAGTATTATAATAATATACCTTACAAAATATTTTAATGATGTTTTTTATCTTTTTCTTAAATAAAATAATATCCAGTTATCTATTGGGGAAATCCGGTTTCGAATATATGGATCCATTCATTCCTGTTCACGTTGAAAATTACACCCCAACAGAAATTAATGCCTTATTAAGATTTTATGCAGAGAATAATTGGCTTACAAATCCCGCCGCTTTTACACCAAACGGACAAGCTGAATTAATATTTTTGTCTGATTACAATCCTCTGGAACTTAGCCGTTTGGCTGCTGAATGGTAGACTATTTGTATCCTTAGAATATTAACTGAGTTGAAAATTATTAACCTATTGTCTGTATATTTAAAAGACTAAATAACAGTAATCTCTGTCCTCTTCTAAATTGGATATTGTAAATATCAGTGAAATAATCCTTTAAATCTTTTGTACAGTTTCAGCTTTCTGATATTTAGTAAAAAAAAATAAAGTATTTTGATGCGACATATTTGTTCTCATTGTATTCGTTTACTCAGCTAAATAAAAATTGACATTAATTTTTTTTTATTGACTAAATAAATTCTTTTCACATGCAGTTTAGGTAATCCAAGAAATTCTCGCGAATTTCCAGTCGGTATTAATTTTAGTTACCTACTTTCTATGTTTTCCATGCAATTCAGGAATGCGCGTTTCTGCTGTGTGGTTGTTAGCGTTAACTTGATTCTATTCATGTTTGCAACCTAATGCTCATTAATGACCGACCGGTCAAAAGCCTTAATATGATCCTGTAATCTCTGCAGTAAGCCAAGCGATAGTCCAAATTAAACCAAAACTTGAATGGGGTTAAAAATATCAGCCTTCCGGCCATCTAAAGCAGACACTCACTTTTCTTTTTGATAGTTTTGTTCTCTGAGCTGGATGGCTTGGTCGTGGAGCTTTCATCGTTCTTCTGAACGACATCATCAGCACAAACTTCAGATAGAAGTGAAGTGTTCGAATTTCTCCATATGCGTTTCACAGCTTGTTCTGTACACCTCGATGTTGATTGGTTCTTATTAACCTTAAATTTGTCATCGTTTACTTCTTTGTTCTGCTTGTGTCTCCCATTGGTTTGATTTTCGTCCTTATATTTGTGCATAATTTTCCTGATTGGTTGATAAATTGGATCGATTTCAGTGTGTTTGTTGATTGTCGATTGACCTGAGTGCCAGGCTCCTAAAAGTTCCCTGGTGTTTCTGGAATTTCCTCTGTCTGAGACTTCCACATTTTTCCAATCAAATGAGTGTCCGCAGTTCTCCACATGTATTGATATAAGTGAGGAAGTATCATGGCGTTTGACTGCTAATTGCTGTTCATGTAGGCGAAGGTGAAGGGGGCGTCCGCTTTGTCCGATGTAGTGTTTTTCTCCTTTTCTTCGTTGAAAAATGTTACAAAAGCAAGTACCCACAGGAATTCTGAGAATACAACAAAACGGCTAAACACCGCTCTCACACTTTGATAAGCAAATATTTTAAAAAAGATAAATGCCATTTTGTTAAGCCATATTTTTTATAGTACTTTCGCCTCATGGTGAAAGGTTTTGTACAAATTTTGATCTGCTCTGTTATTATTATTATTATTATCAGCTTTATTCAATATTATATTTTTGGTACAATATAGAATTCTCAGCGCAAAGTATTTCAATAAGTTTCGTTTCTTTCTTCTTGGTCGGTCTTGGCGATAAATATTGAGTGATCGCCAGTTAGATGTTAGCAGTTCAGTAAATGAACATCTGAATAATGTGCATTCTTTTCGTTGTATATTGCCAACAACCACATTGTCTCTTATTAAGTTTTTTTGTAACTTTGACAACGAAAGGTTGTACACTTTTCAGAAACGCAGCAGAATAGGTTATGCGATTAATAAACATAATGATATATTAAAACAAACAAAAATAGATAACTTGTTGAAATATCTAGATGGCAGGAACAGGTAGCCCAGATGCTCAAGCAGGCCGCCCTTTATACCATCTAAAACTAGCAACTAATTTTTATACTGGTAGTGACTAGAGTAAGAAATTATTATTGTGTTGGGTGAATAAAGCAAATTGCTATGGTTTATTTCTAAATTCACATAAATCTGATTGTTATACGTTCATTTATCTCTTCTAAAATGCAAATATTCTACTTATTTGAAGTTACGAAGTAACGCTACATATGATAAAAAAATTGTTTCAATAGATTTCACGTTTTTAAATCTCCTGAGCTCTCAGATTAACCACCTACTTATCGTATGGTTTTATTATGTCTAAATCTATGCACAACCATGAGTGATTACCAGTCGATCCAGCTTGTATTGTTAGGTGAATAAACAGAAGACATCATTTTCAGTAATCAAGTGTTACTCCAACAAAAGTACGTCTTTATTGCCTTTTTAGTGGAAAGTTTAATTGTCACTTTAACAATAATATATGTGTAAATTAAAGAAAAAGTCTTAGAAAACTGTTATAGCTGAAATCAGCGCTCGCAATCAATCAAAGACGAATCGAGGATAAATCATATTGTAGAGAACGAAAATTCAGATGGGAGAAGCCAACTTATTGTTTGTTGCAAAATCACACAGTGGTTTGGCAAAATATGAAAATCATACATTAAATACATCATTTGCACATTTTCCTTGCGTTGTCCTTTACACACCATTATTCCTTTAATTCTGTTGTGATCCCGATTTCCTTCCTCTTCTCTTCATTTGGATCTTTTACTGGTAGTCGTTCTACTTTCAATTGCTGCTGCACACTACTTATATCTGTCAGCGTAAGTAGCACACACCACAATATCACATCAGATTAAATTTGTATACTACCAACGTATCGTAAGATGTATGGGTACATTTTAGATAACTTTATGTCACATGTAGTTTTACTATATAGTAATAATTCTCGCTTCTACAGCTTACACTGGCATTCATCATCTAAAATTATAGCTTGTACTAAAGCATAAGACTATTAATAACTACAGTGGTACCCAAGTCTTTGGAACTGTATCTAGATGCGTAAGTAGTTACAGGCATCTCAAACCAGAACAAAATGTCAATTCTTGGAGTCAGTCACCTTTCATAATATAAACTTATGAAGTTCTGCAAGAATGTAAATTTACCTAAAATCCAGTTGCAAACTTAATTGATTGTGCAATTTTTCGGAAATATTTAATGAAGTTCAGAATACTGATCTCAAATTCCAAAAATCAAAAAGTAGGTATTAATAAATTTAACTGTTGGTTCATAGGTCGATGGAAGTTTTAACTAGTGTTAGGTATTCAGGAGTAGTTTGACTTAGTTTGCATTCCATGATCACTGGAGGTATTTAAAGGTATGGTGGGATTTCACTTTATGCATTCACTTCGCTGTAGTACATAGGTCTGTTTGACTGTCTTCTGGTAGGCGCAAAATCTGTTGTGTGAATCTCAGGACAGTCAATTTTGTCATCCGTGATTCGAGAGTGAAATAGTGTTTTGACACCGTGTTTGTGATGGGCAGTTATTATAATACATTGGTCTTTCCGGGATTTTAGATCGACTATTTATCCCTCTGACTAAAGCCTTAATGATATTTTAAAAGATTCAGCATTTATTAAACTGTACTGTAAGTGTTGTTATCGAAATGTGTGTCTCTTGTCTTTTAGTTACCTTTATTGCTGTGAGTTATCTACGAATTTTCAGAAGAATAATTATTAAAATGCATGACAATATTGTTGGACACTAATCGCCTTAAAGTGCTCGGTAACTTCAGTCATCCGTGTATAAAAGATATGCTCCTGACGAAATTATATGTGTAAACTTCATGTTAATATTTCACATACCACTGGTAGCAATTATAGGTCATCATGCTTGAAGAACGTGGAATTTTGTTTACATATTCATGCTAAGTAGTCATTATAAGTATTGAAACTAAATTAGGAATATTACCAATAGATCAGTCATTATTAATGACATAATTAATAAATATACTCAGCATAGTGCTCTAAGGTTGATCTAATGAATAGTAAAGCTATGCTACCCAACCGACCTCTAATGCTTAGTTCACTAACTTTATAATACACTGCTCTTTTCGTGTAACAATAGATGAGACGAGTCGAATGAGCTAAATTAGTTTTCATGAATTAATATTTAAAAATCTGATTAGTTCACATTATAAAAAATATTGTTTTTAAGACTTATTTTATTTCTATGCATACCAAATGATACTTCTTGTTAGAATTTCTAATATTTTTCTGTTGCAACTAGATTTTCATGAGTAGTTTTTTATTAATCCTTTGTTTTACAACGGGTGTTGTTTTCTGCTTATTCTTTGATTGCATACCTCATGAACTGAAACTGGTTTGATCTATTCCTATCAAAGTTCATCTCATTGATTATATATTTGTCTTTACTATTGGCCAATTGTTGCATGAAAGTATGTGATGATGTTTTGAAGTTCAAAATTACAAGTGTTGTACACATCGTACTGTCTTGTATAACAATAAATATCAGGGTGGTCATTAGTTTTTACTTGGGGTTACGTCAACAACTTGTTTGTCTGAATTTTATTATTCTTTGGAATAAAAGTTATGATACCGATTTCAGAAAACGATTTTCCGTGCAGTTTCCACCACAATTTTTTTCTTTGACGGTTTACATGTATATTGGCTATAAAAAAGCATTTCTTTGTTTTAAAAAAGATCTCCGTAACTAGTTATCTTGTTATAATGATAATGATATGTGATCTAAATATTAATAAATTGTACAGCCGTGATTAGTCAAATTTATTGTAACAGGAGGCTTGTGGGGGGCGAGACCATAATTTATGGACGAACCAATCAGATAGAAGATAACAGGTTCTGGATTTTAGTTCGAAATTCATCCACTCATTTGGTTAAATACTATTTCGGCAGTATGGATGATGTTATTTCGTGCTGAAAACCCTAAATCTAATTCCTAACCCTAACCATCAACTGTAAATCATAATTCTAATTCCTTACACTTTTATAACCCACATTTAGTCCTAGTCAATAGATTGACGTTTTCAGGGTCGTTCTGTCGTCACCTCAAGGTCCTCCATAAATGTTGATTCATTCGATTTGCCCTTATTTATACTCCAATCGTTATTCATAATCACTCATTTTTATTCTCATCCATTTTGGAGTTTTCTTAAATAAGAATGTGTTATAGTATCAAGTGGAATTTGAAGAATGTTATTTTTCACATTTTATTTCCATATTTTCGATACACTCATCATTAACTGTAGCATATTTAAGCGATGGAATAGTAGTTAAAGAGCTCTATTTTGGCTCT